AGCAGACTCCCCACTGAGCAGGGAGCCCGATGCGGGGTTTGATCCCAGGACCATGACCCGAGCCGAAGGCAGCCGCCTACCTGACTGAGCCACCCAGGCTCCCCTGTTTTTCCATTTCTTTGAGTCTTCCTCAGTTTCTTCCATGAGTGTTTACTATAGTTTTCTGAGTACAAATTCTTTCCCTCTTTGGTTAGGTTTATTCCTAGGTATCTTATGGTTTTGGGTGCAATTGTAAATGGGATCGACTCCTTAATTTCTCTTTCTTCTGTCTCATTGTTAGTGTACAGAAATGCAACTGATTTCTGTGCATTGATTTTATATCCTGCCACATTGCCGAATTCCTGTATGAGTTCTAGCAGTTTTGGGGTGGAGTCTTAGGTTTTCCGCATAGAGTATCATGGACTCCGCCATCTTGGACTCCTCCTCCTCTTTTCTTTATTATTAAATGTTAATTGTAGAAAAGTAAGAAAATAAAGATAGGCCAAAAAAAATTAAAAAGCAGCCATTATCTCTTTTTTTCTCTTTTGTTGTTGACATATAGTTGACATATACAATGTTGTATTAGTTTTCAGTGTATAAAATAGTGATTAGTGATTTGACAGTTCTTTTCATTACTCAGTGCTCATCATGATAAATGTAATTACCATCCGTCACAATACAGTGTTATTACAGTATTATTGAGTGTATTCCCTATGCTGTACTTTTTATCTTCGTGACTTATTTAATACTCGTAGAGCACTTTGTACCTCTTCATCTCCCTTATCTATTTTGCTTGTCACCCACCCACTTCCCCTCTGGCAACCATCAGTTTTCTGTATTTAAGAGCCTGATTTTTTTGTTTTGTTTCATTTTTTAGGTTCCCTGTGTAAGCAAAATCATATTGTATTTGTTTTTCTCTAATTTCACTTAGCATGATATCCTCTAGGTCCATCCATGTTGTCACAGATGGCAAGATCCCATTCTTTTTTATGGATGAATAGTAATCCATTGTGTATATATGTATGCTATATTTTCTTTATCCATTCATCTATCAGTGATACTTGGGCTGCTTCCATGTCTTGGCTGTTGTAAATAATGCTGCAACAAACATACGAGTGTATATATCTTTTTCAGTTAGTGTTTTTGTTTTCTTTGGGTAAATACCCAGTAGTAGATTTACTGGATCATATGGTATTTCTATTTTTAATTGTTTGAGAAACCTCCATAAGTGTTTTCCCCAGTGGCTGCATCAATTTACATTCCTATCAGCAGTGCACGAGGGTTCGCTTTTCTCCACATCCTTGCCAACACTTGTTATTTCCTGTCTTTTTGATACTAGCCATTCTGCAGGTGTGAGGTGATATCTCATTATGGTTTTGATTTGTATTTCCCTGATGATGAGTGATGTTGGGCATCTTTTCATGTGTCTGTTGGCCATTTGTATATTTTCTTTAGAAAGATACTTATTCAGATCCCTTGCCCATTTAAAATCTAGTTATTTGGGGTGTTTTTGGTGTTGAGGTATATAAATTCTTTATATACTTCGGATATTAACCCTTATTGTATATGTCATTTGCAACTATCTTCTCCCATTCACTAGGTTGCCTTTTTGATTTGTTGGTGGATTCCTTTGCTGTACAAATGCTTTTTATTTTGGTGTTGACTTATTTTATAAGTGAAAGTTTGAACCTTGTACTCCCCTTCACCTCTTTCACCCATGCCCCCATCCCCACCTCTGGTCTGGCAACCACCAGTTTGTTCTTTGTATTTAAGAGTCTGGGTTTTTTTGTTTGTTTTGTTTTTTAAGATTCTGCATATAAGTGCGAGCATATGGTGTTTATCTTTCTCTGTTTGACTTATTCACTTAGCATAATAATACCCTCTGTGTCCATCCATGTTGTTGCAAATGGCAAGATTTTATTCTTTTTTATCAGCCATCATCTTATTATTCATACTTGGGGTGTATATGTCCAGACTTTTTCTATGTGTCTGTCTCAAAGTTGGATTGATGGACCATTTTATGCTGCTTTTCCTGTCATGAGTTGAGTGTTAGGATGGGCAGAGTCCATGGGCATAGTCCACAAGCATGTTCTTTTATTTGTGCTGTAGCCTCTTGTTACGGTGTTTATGTTGGAAACAGTATTTCTCTGCAAATGGAAACAGTACACGTTTTGAAGTCCAAAGACCTGGGGTCCTGCTCTGACTCCCCTTAGGTTTGTGAGCTTGAGAGAGGCACTTAATTTCACTTTCCTCATCTTTACAAGGAACTGTAATACTTCCTTTGTGATATCTTATCCGCCAGGATGGTTAAAATGAAAAACGAAAACGAAACTGTATCCTGGGCTGGGGAGGATGTGGAGCAGCTGGAACTCCCTGCCCTGCTGGTGGGGGTGTAAACTGCGTTAGCCACTTTGGAAAACTGTCATCTACTGAAGCTGACCATACACTTACTTAGGACCTAGCAATTCCACTCCAAGGTATCAACCCTACAGAAAGGCATACAAATGTGTACCAGATGTCATGCTCAAGAATGTTTAGAGCAGCACCATCTGTAATTGCCCAGACTGGAAAATTCCAGTGTCCATCAGTAGTAGAATGGACAAATACATGTGGTAAACTCCCACAGTGGACGACTGTAGTCAGTAAGAGTTAATGAATAACAATTCAGTGAAAAATCAGGATGAATTTCACAGATACAGTGTTCATTCAGACACAATTATAAACTATGTGATCCCATTCATATAAGGTTTAAACGGAACTAATCTATGCTGTTAGAAATCAGAATAGTGGCTACCCTTGGGGGCAGGTAGTGATAGAAGGGGGTGCAGTGGGTTTTGGGGGGTGCTGGTGATGTTCTCTCTCTCCATCTGGCTGCTGGTTACATGGATGTATTCACTCTGAGAATTCTTTGACCTGTGTACTTATATTGTGTGCACTTTTCTGTACGTATATTGCACATCTGTAAAAAGCGTATTTAAGTAGGCTCCATGCCCAGGGTGGAGCTTGAACTCACGACCCTGAGATCAAGTCGCATGCGCTACCGACTGAGCCTGCCAGGTGCCCCTGTAAAAAGTGTATTTAAAACGCTGAAAAAGGGGGTGCCTGGGTGGCTCAGGTGGTTAAAAAAACATTTGCCTTCGGCTCAGTCATGATCTCAGGGTCCTGGGATCAAGCCCTGTGTAGGGCTCCCTGCTCATTGGGGAGCCTGCTTCTCCCTCTCTGTCTGCCCCTCTCCCAGCTCATGCTCTCTCTCTCCCCCCTTTCTCTCTCAAATAAATAAATAAAATCTTTAAAAAAAAAACCCTGAAAAAGGGAAGCTCATATATGAGTCACATGCTCCTATTAAAACTTAATAATGAGAAAGAAAATTTTTTGTATTGTTGATGAATAATATAAAATAATTATTTTAACTTATTTCATCTTTACTGCTTACTGCTGTGATCATTTGTTTTATAATATATGTAACACGTTGGTACATTAGAATGTATATTTAATTTACAAATAAACGTATGTATTTTAGAGATGTTGGCTTGGTATTTCTCACCTGTTGGTAGTGAAGAATCAGGAGGTTTGGTGAGCTGTGGCTCAGGGTCATAACAAGGGGACAGCCTGAGCAGAGCCTGGCTGTGGGAAGCAGGTGGGGAACAGGTGGACGAGTGGGTGAGCCTCAAGCAGTTCAGTGGGTGTTCTGTGTTTGGGTTGGTTTCCTTGTTTCTGGAGCATAAAGTGTGCGACAGAGGAGGTGGTGGTGAAGCTGGAGAGGGAAGCAGGGGCCAGGCCTCCACGGGCAGGGGCTGCAGGGAAGCTCTGAAAGGTGAGAGGACAAAAGCAGGGGGCCAGCAGAAGAAAGGAGCCAGTGGAGGAGGCCAGAGAGACCAAGGGGATGGGAGGAGACAGAGCACCAAAGTCATTATTAGGGACTGAGAGCTGAGTTTCCAGAAAGAGGGACTAATGAACCATGTTAAAAGCTACCAGGAGGTGGGAAAGCCTGAGGCCACTAGCCTCAGCAAATTGGGAGGTCTTGGTGGCCTGGGAGGGAGCAGCACCACTGGTTAGGTAGAGTGTTACCACGTGGGTGGTAGTGAGATGGTGTGGTACTAAGGTCAGGGTGTCTGAGGGGAAGCAGCCTGGAGTTCAAGGGTCAGAGCTCTTTGGAAGACTGGGGAGAATGGCAGGTGTTCTCAGGTGGAGGGTAGGACCAAGGGAGTGGAAGAGACTGGGGTTGCCAGGAAGGGGGTTGCTGAGCCCCGAGCCCAGGCCAGTGGTTGGCCCTGGGTCTCAGGCAGCCAGCTGCCTCTCTCAGAGGCGGGAGCAGAGGACCTGGAGAAGATGCAGAGACATTTAAGTTAAAGGAGGGGCCTAGGAGAGCTGAAGTCAACTTTCCTTAGTGAAGGAGGTAGTGCAGCCGCCCACCTGGGTGTGGGGTGAGGTGTGGAGGTGTGGAGAAAGAGGGTGCTTTGGAGGATAGAAACCAGCAACGGGGGGCCTTTTCAGGCACCCTGTGTAGGATGCTTGTCTGTGTCAGCGGGTCACCGTGGGGGCATGCCAGGCACTCCCTCCCTTGTCACACACACTTTTTTCAACAGCCGTGTGCTCTGAGGGCAGGGGTGTTTGTTTCTGGGCACTCCTGAGCTCCTTCCCTGCTGGGGTAGTGCCTGAGGCCGTGACTGGTACTTTGGGCCTGCCAGAATGCATTTGCCCACGGAGCCAATGTGTTCTTTGGGATTGATTCCCCAGGCAAACCCATACCATAGCATGTATCCAAAGCATGGTGGGAAAGGAGAATAGTGACCAAAGAAGTTTAAGTTGATTTTGATACATTTAGGACAGGCTTTGCTACCTGGTAGGCTAATGGTGATATCAAATATTGATCTATGGGAAAAGTATTGGACATTTCAAAGAACAGGTGGAAATCAGATCTGAGAGTGCTGAAGTTGGTCTGACCTTGCTGAGCCTTGAAAAACAAGTCTTACCATATTGGAACATCGATGTCAATGGAGTTATTCGTCCTACTTTTACAGCGGCTACTGTTTGGAAAGAGACGTGCTGGGATGGTATATCCCGTTGGCCTGGGATTATGAAGCCCATCCTGTACTCCTGGTAAGTTGGTTTCTGGACCTTAGTGGAATGTGCTTTCTTGAGCACAGGGCCATGATGGACAGGCGCGGGAAGGGGCACGCTGGCGCCGGTGATCTGGGCGGCGGCACAGCCAGAGATGGCGTCTGCGGCGCTGAGGAGCTGCAGGGCGGCTTCTGGGGCATCAGGCATCCTCAGCCAAGTGTGCAGAGGGTGCTTTAGGGGTTCCTTTGCCAGATTAAACTCTGAGGTTTTCTTTGTTGGTTCTCCTGTCGGGCTTTCCCTCCCTTCCTCCGCCTCCTACTTGTGCAGAACCTCTTGCTGCTGCCCCGCTGCGCTGTCGCCCCTTTGCTTCTGGTGGTCAGAAGACACATGTTCTGTGTCTGACTCCCCAGTAGCTGGAAGTGACCCAGTGACCTCCTTCCTCAGCCTCGGTCAGGTCCCCCTCCCCTGCCAAGACACCCCTGTCCTCTCTGCAGTGCAGCTACCCACCACTTCCAGCTGTCCTTGCCCCAGACCCTCCCTTCAGCAGAAAGGCCAGCTCTTGTGTGAGGAGCTTCGCCGCGGGAGGAGGGGTGGAGGCCAGTAAGACGTGGTCATTGTCTGCAAGAGACCTCACCTGCAGGTCAGCCCCCTGCCGCCCTCTTCCCCCACCTGCCCGGTTCTTGCTCCCTGAGAGTCTGCCCATCCTACCTGGCACCTCTTGCGAGAAGGTTTTTCTGCTGCTGCTCTCCTCCATGTCATTTTATTTCATTTCAGTTTTCATTTATTTTATTTTTTATTTTATCTTATTAAAAGATGTTATTTATTTATTTGTGAGAGAGAGAGTGCACAAGCCAGGGAAGAGGCAGAGGGAGGGAGAAGCAGACTCCCTGCTGAGCAGGGAGCCCCATGTGGGGCTCGATCCCAGGACCCTGAGATCATGACCTGAGCCGAAGGCAGATGCTCAACCAGCTGAGCCACCCAGGTGCCCCTATTTTATTTATTTTTAAAGACTTTATTTATTTGAGAGAGAGAGAAAGAGAGCAAGTGTACACATGAGCAGGGGGAAGGGCAGAAGGAGAGGGAGAAGCAGACTCCCCACGGAGCATGGAGCCCGATGCAGGGCTCGATCCCAGGATGCTGAGATCATGATCTGAGCTGAAGGCAGATGCTTAACCGATTGAGCCACCTAGGCGCCCTGCTCTCCTTCCTTTTAAACCCTCGTGACACATGTTTTAATATCCTCATGGCCCTGGCTACATTCTGCATTGCATCGTGCTTTTGTGATGTACCCTGTACCTCCCACCTGACCTCCTTGACTAGACTTTAAGCTCTTTTAAGTCAGGGGTTGTGTCTTGCTCATTGTTGTATCTCATGCAGTTCCTTGCTCGGTACCTTACACACCGTATATGCTCAATAAATGTTACTACACTGAAACCGACTTGGACTCTTTTATGGCTCTCAATATCCATCCGCTTTGTGGCCATGGTCCTCAGGTCTTGAGACAACATAAAAGAATAAAAGGGGGAGTGGCAGAGAGTGTTTGCCTAAAAGAATCCTAAGAGATTCTGTTCAGGTAGGAGCAGTCACAAAAAAGTTAAAAGCTGAAATATTACAATATTTTTCAGATTCTTCTAGTAGCCTTACCCTTCTGTCAACCCATTATTACAAAAGAGGCAGAAGGTGAAGTTTCTGATGCTTTCCTACCAGGGATTCAGTCTTCCTTGATGTTGCATGATAAGTTACAACACAAGTAATTCATATAGTGCTTAGTAGAAGCACTTTCTCTGAAGCTTACCTACTGGTGGGATTGGTTCCCGTAAGGAGGATGCTGGAGACAACTGCTGGTTCAGAGGTGGGAGCACACGACAAAACAGACTCAGAGAAGTGATTTCCCTGAAGTCTCACAGCAAGTTAGTAACAGAGCTGAGATGGGATTCTAGGTCAGTCTTGTTCTAGAAATGGAGCTCCTTTCCCTGTCTGTGCTTTTTCTGATTAGAACTGGATTCCAGGATGAGGTGCCTGGCTGGCTCAGTTGGAAGAGCACCCGACTCTTGATCTCAGAGTTGTGAGTTTGAGCCTCATACTGGGTGTAGAGATTACTTAAAAATAAATTTAAAAAAAAATGAACTTAAAAAAATTAAAGGAAAAAAAGACTAAAAAAAAAAAAAGAACTGGATTTCAGGAGAGGGGCTGTGGCTGCCTGCTTATGGTTCATGGGGGATCTGGGCAGGCTTGCACCCAGCCTCTGCAGAGGGAGAGGACTCCTCTCTCCTGTCATCACCTGGGTGGGGACCAAAGAGCAGAGGATTTCCTCCCTACTTCTCAGCAGGAAGATCCCTGTTCACCAGCATATTTCACTTGAGCTCTCTTGAACAAAGGCTCTCAGGTTGTCCAGGGCCTCAGGCTTGCTACTGCTGCAGGAGCTCAGGCGGTCTGCCATGAACAGGGGCTACAAGAACCTGTGTCCTTCAACAGGCAAAGACAAATGACAACACATTTTCAGGGACTTGGTTGTAGAAAGGAGGAAAGCCAAACTTCACACTTGGAGCAGTAGCTTCTTTGAGGCAGGAAGAATGGAGAGGACACTTAAGAACTTTAATTCACAAGGAAGGAACTCCCAAAGGGATGAGATGGAAGTGTACCAGAGGCTTTCTGGAACTAAAGAACGTGGCTTTTGAATTCAAAGATCAATAGAAGAGTTGAAATTAGTGGTTTGGAAGGCCAAAGAGAAGAAATGTCTCATAACCCAGAACAATTATACAAAGAAATGGAAATAATGAATTAACATGTGGAACACTTAGAGGCCTTACCCAGGAGACCTGGCATAGGGGTAATAGAATAGAAGTTCCAGGAGGAGGAAAAGGAACAGATGGAGGAGTAATAGAAAAACAGTAGTGGGAAATGTCAGTGAACTATAGAAAGACGTGATTGTTCAGATTCAGTGGATTCATCCAGTTCACACTAAAGCCAACACTTACTCTTGTCTTCTAATAAAATTCCTAAACTCCAAGAGGAAAGAGAAAAACCTTAAAATTTTTTAAGAAGAAAGAGCAGGTTTTCTAAGGAAAGAGAAGTAGATTCTTACTGGGCTTCCCATATGTAACCCTGCAGGCGGGAAGGCAGTGGACTGGTATCTACAGGCTGTTCATGGGAGAGGGGCTGTGGTCCTCTGTATACCCAGCCCAGATGCCACTCATGGGTTATTGCAAAAGAAAGGCGTTTCAGACACATGATGGCATAAAATAATACAGTATCTATTCAGTGTAGCTGAGGAAATGCCCTGTCAAGCTCTCCGGTGGAAACACAGTGAAAGCAGGGCAGAGATGATGAGACGGGGCAAGAGTGCAGGAGGCAATGTACCTGTCAGGGCATATGCTTTAATCTCCGGGGCTAGTGCTGCTATGAGATGGTTTTTATCGTGTTGAGTTCTTAATAATTTTTAAGCTACAAGAGAACTGTATGGGAAAACATAATAGGCTGAAAATTAAAAATTCTAAACCATCTTCACAGAACCTAAGGCTTTGGGAGAAGGGCTGAGAAGGGGAAATAAGTGGTCCACTTTTAGGACACTTAAATAAACAGAGCAAGTGAAACATAGAGGCATAGTTGTTAGCTTGTGTTCTGGAAGGAAAAATGTTCAGTTTTGACTTTTAGGGATCAGAAGGTGTATTAGGACGAGATTTGGTTGCATATAGTAGATAGTGCCTCCATAACAATGGCTTAAACAATAAGGGTGTATATGTTTTCATCCCATGAAAAAGTAAAGAGGTGGGCAGTCTAGGACTGGTATGGTGGAATCAAAGTCATTCCAGACCCAGGTTCCTTATATCTTGCTGCTCTTCCATCCGTAGCAGAGTGCCTTCTGATTCAAGGTGGCTGCTTGAGCTCCAGTCATCACATCTGCATTCCACAAGCCAGAAGGAGACAGATGGGAGAAAGGGTATGCCCTTTCCCTTCCAGACACTTCTCAAAAGTCTCACACAGCACTAACATTTACACCTCATTGAGTAGAGCTTAGCCACACTGAGCTGCAAGGAAGCATAGGGTGTGCTTAGCTAAAAATAGGAGTTCTCGTGCTAAAGAAGAAAGGGAGAAAGAAAGAAGTTGAGCTCTCTGCCTCAAAAGATTATCACTAGCAGAATGTGAATTAAAACATTTTCTTTTTTATTATTTTATTTTTTAAAAAAGATTTTATTTATTTATTTGTCAGAGAGAGAGAGAGAGAGCACAACCAGGGGGAGCGGCAGGCAGAGGGAGAAACAGCCTCTCTGCTGAGCAAGGAGCCTGACGCGGGAGTCGATCCCAGGACCCTGGGACCATGACCCGAGCCGAAAGCAGATACTTAACCAACTGAGCCACCCAGGCATCCCTCTTTTTTACCTTTTTAATTGGCAAAAAGTTACAAAGATTGATAAGATAAAACCAGCCATAGCCAGTAAATGGGGAAGTGGGTCCTCTCTTACATCGCTGGTAGGTGTATGAATTGTTCTAACTTTTGGGGAACATAATCTGAAAATATCTAATAAATATTAAGAAATCCCTAATCTGGAAACCCATCAGTATACTTCTAGGAGTCTGTCCTGCAGAAATAAAGCACCAGTGCAAAAAGCAATACAAAGCTGTTTCCTGCACTGCAGTTTGTAGTGGCAGAAGGGTGGGAGGAATGGGAGCTCCTGTCAGCGATGGATTAGGCAGTGATTACAAAGGAGCCAGGTTTCTTTCTTCTGACCTGGGAGAAGGCCACAACCTGTGGTAGGTTTCAAAGATAAATTGCATAATAACGTCTCCAGCAGGGGTTGCAAACCAGTGGCCCGTGGTGGCAGATAATTCCGTGGGCTGGGCAGTGTTAAGTGCTTTATGCAGTGAACTTACTCTCTTCTCACAACAAAAAGTCACAAGGTAGGTACTATTGGATCACCGATTCTCATAGGAGGAAATTGAAGCACAGAGAGGCTAAATAACTTATGGTCACCCAGCCAACAGACGCTGGGCCCGGGAGGTGACTAGGGCTCCAAACTCTGAACTTTTATCAACTCTGC